TCTTTTGGAGAAAATCTTTTTAAAATTATTTTAGGATCGTTTTCAATTTTTAGAAACTTTTGTGTTGAAATTTTATTGTGTTGTTATTTCAGAAATCACTTTGTGATTTAGTGTGTGGATCGATTTGATCAGTGTGAAAACAATTAGCAAGTATATATATATATACAGGAGACAAGGTGCACATCTATTAGCTAATTGATTATCCTCTCTTAATCGATGTTACGAAGTTTGTGTTGTCTACAACAGTCTGAGGAAATAACTGAGATACGACAGATCTTGCGAATTAATTAACGAGACCCTCTCTTTCTCTCTCCCTCTCTATTGTTATTCCACAAGGTAGTTTCAAAAGGTCCTCATTTTACTTTCAATGAGAGTCATGAAAATCTAATTTCATCGAGTTGATGTTGACACAAATTTTTTGTTCTAGAAAAATTAATTATTGTACAAACTAAACCCAATTTTGTTTTCTACAACAAATCTGTATTGTACAACAAATTAGTTACTACAAGAAATTAGTTACAACAAATTTGTATTGTTGTAACAACTAAAAATTTGTTGCAGTAATAATACAGATTTGTTGTTGCAACCAAGTAAAATTTATTAGTTATACAGATTTAGTATAAGTATACAATTTATTTTTCTACACGATTGCAGATTTTTTTTTTAAATAATTGCGCTTTTAAAGACAGAGAAGGGCAAAATTAATTTTAGAATTTATTTGCAGATTTGTTGATAGAAGAACTAGAGAAAAATATAACAATAACGGAAGTGGTTTACAGAAAGTTTTGTCATTGTGTGTGTGTGTGTGTGTGTGTTTGTTGAACTAATACTTGTTTGAAAGATAAGTCACAGCTTATTCATGTAAATACCTGTGAATGCACTTATACTGCTGCTAATTCACAAGTCGATTATATCTTGTTAAATTTGGGTTATACACAAATTAGAAAAAAGAAAAAAAAAAATTTAACAACTTATAAAATTCTAAACCTAAACAATGCATTTTTAATTTTTAGTTATATTTATAGATATAAATATTTTGAAATAATGTGTGCAATTCTTGCAGTTTAGTTGAACGTGACCAAGTTATATAGTGATATTACGTGTCAAACACGTGTACATTCAATAACCATATAAACGTGCGTGACGCAAATGTGCAAGATATATATACATATATGTATATATATGTAAAAAAAAGTTAAGGTGGTTTACGATTTTTTTTTCTCTTTAGACAATCTGTACATAAAGTATGTATTGTTGGCAGCTGGTATATATGATCAGCTGCAATCACGCGCACCTGTAGTTTAATTTTTTTGCGTTATAAAAACCGATTTTACCAAAATCGAAATATGTTACAAAATTGAGTTTGGTATAAATATATATTTCTGCTGATAACAAAACAGAATGTATTTGAGTTTCTTTTTATTAATATTCAGAGATTACATAATTTCTATTTCCGCGACGTGCAAAAACAGACATCCTAGCCAATTGACTATTTTCACACGGTAAATTGATATGACTTTAGTCAAGTGCCTATTTTTACGCCGTGAACAGATGTGACTTTAGCCACATGTCTATTTTTATGCCGTAAATTAACGTGACTTTAGCCAAATAACTACATTCACGCCGTAAATTTACGTGACTTTAGCCAAATAACTACTTTTACACATGTCAATAAAGTTAGCAGAGCAAAATCAGCAGAACCTAACCGGACTATATGGAGATTTTAAGGCTTTTTAAAGGCTATTTAAGTGCCCTATTCCCAATTTAAATGCTCCCATAGGGTTCGAGAAAACACATGTTCTGCTAAACCTAAAAAAAGTTAGCAGACCATCACATCTAAAATACATAAAACCCAATAAATTCACTGTTTTAAGTAAAGCTTATTTAAAGGCTATTAAAAGGCTCCACAAAAAAATTATAACCAACTAATTTAAGCCCTAAATAAGGGCTAAACTAGTGATTCTACTCAGCGGAACAATAACTTTTTACTCAAATTCGAAAAAATCCTAATTTTCATAGCAGAATAATTAAAGGCTAATTAAAGGCTTTCACAACAAACTATAACAAATCACCCTAAGCCCTTATTAAGGGCTAAACTAGCGGCCCTTCCCAGCAGAACACTAACTTTTTACTTAAATTCGAAAAAATCCTAATTTTCAAAGCAGAATAATTAAAGGCTAATTAAAGGCTCCCAGAACAAAGTCCAAAAAACTACCCTGAGCCCTTATTAAGGGCTAATCTACCAACTCTTTCCAGCAGAACACTACCTTATCAATTACATTCCAAAAACTTCTCATTTCCACTGCAGAATAATTAAAGGCTAATTAAAGGCTCCCAGAACAAAGACCAAAAATCTACCCTGAGCCCTTATTAAGGGCTAAACTACCAACTCTTCCCAGCAGAACACTAACTTATCAATCAAATTCCAAAAAATTCTCATTTTCACTGCACAATAATTAAAGGCTAATTAAAGGCTCTCAGAAAAAACTCTAACAAATCACCCTAAGCCCTTATTAAGGGCTAAACTAGCGGACTAAACGGACGTGACTTTAGCTAAATATCAATTTTAACACTGTAAATTAAGGTGACTTTCGCCAATTTCCTATTTTTACGCCATGAACGGACGTGACTTTAGCTAAATGTCTACTTTGACGCCGTAAATTGACGTGACTAGCCAAATAATTACATTGACATTTTAAATTAACGTGACTTTAGCCAAATAACTACATTCACGCCGTAAATTTACGTGACTTTAGCCAAATAACTACTTTTACACCGTAAACGGACGGCATTTTAGCTAAATGTCTATTTTAACGCCGTAAATTAACGTGACTCTAGCCAATTGTCTATTTTCACGCCGTAAATGGACGTGACTTTAGCTAAATGTCTATTTTCACGCCGTAAAATTGACGTGACTTTAACCAAATGTCTACATTCACACCGTAATCGTACGTGAATTTAACTAAATGTCTATTTTAACACCGTGAATGGACGTGAATTTAGCTAAATGTCTATTTAGACGCCGTTAAATTGACGTGACTTTAGCCAAATAATTACATTCACACTGTAAATTGATGTGACTTTAGCCAAATAACTACATTCACACTGTAAACGGACGTGACTTTAGCCAAATGTCTATTTTCACGCCTTGAACAAACGTGACTTTAGCCCATTATCTATTTTTACGCCATGAACGGACGTGACTTTAGCTAAATGTCTATTTTGACGCCGTAAACGGACGTGACTTTAGCCAAATGTCTATTTTCACGCCTTTAACAAACGTGACTTTAGCCCATTATCTATTTTTACGCCATGAACGGACGTGACTTTAGCTAAATGTCCATTTTGACGCCGTAAACGGACGTGACTTTAGCCAAATGTCTATTTTCACGCCTTGAACAAACGTGACTTTAGCCCATTATCTATTTTTACGTCGTAATTTTGTTTAGAAAGAAGAAAAAATGATATTATTTTGTGTAGAATAATTTTTATATAATGAGTACGTAATTTATGAAACGAGTATATATATATATATTCGAAACTGTTGAAATTGCAACTAATGCCTGAGGACATAATTCCTGTGCTAGAGGATAGTGTATAATATATATATATATATATATATATCTACCACCACTAAAATGTCCACGCTTCGCGTACACGTGCAGATCGTATTTATTGCAACCGGACAATGCGAGCTTATGTAAATTGCATATATATTCGCGACCCGCTGTTTGTTTCTTTGTTTGGTGAAAAGCAACTTGCTTCGTACGTAAAATGAAATTTTCCTTCAGGTTCCAACTTTGCAATGAATTTACTTGCTTGTTAGAAAAAATTGCACTGACAGTGAAATTGGACTTGCTGGACTTTGTCTCTCTTTCTATATACATATATAGTATAAGAAACTTAAAACACAGACAAAGGCACGAAAACAGCTTTTGATAAGATTTTATTTCACAGCTTTTGTTTTTACAAAAAAAGAAAATCTTTTTCCAACATAGAAATTTTTCTATTTCTTTTCAAATATATATATATATATAAAAGCAGTGAAGGAAAATTTATTTGATTCAAATAATCGCGGTTATTTGACTATTATCAAATAAATATTTACTTGAACCAAATATAAATTTTAGATTAACTTAATTTTTTTCTATTTTGAATTAATTAAATTTTATTTGTTTCAAGTACAGAAATTATTGATTCAAAATACAATTTATTTAATTTGAATAAAAAATTATTTGGATCAAGTAAATAATAATTATTTGGTTTAATAATTTATTTGCTAGTAACCGATTTGAATAAAATAATTTTTTTTTTTATAATTTATTTATATATGAGAAAAATCTCTCAAATTTTTAATAAATAATTAAAATTAATATTTGTTTTAAAAATTATTAAAATTTAGAAAAAGAATTTTTTGAAACAAGGAAAACACAATTTAAGATGTGTATGACACATAAAACCTGACCTAATCAGGTCACAATCATTAGCTTGATTATCGACCGCGTGAAAGAGTTGTTTAAATACTGCAACCAGTATAGTGGTAAAAGAAAAGATGGATGTTCTGAACATTAAAATAATTCAAAGAACATTTTATATAATATATATTAAAACCAATATGGAAACCTTACTATTGTCAAGAAGAAGAATAATCCTCTCTTGTAATTAGTGTAAAAAGAAGAGGTGGGAGGAGATTAACTTTTTTTTTGAAATTATCTCGGAAAAAACGATATAAAAATATCCTTATAATGACTTTTTTATAATTTCATTTAATACATTTTTATTCTCTTGATAATTTATTATGAATTCCTGTCTGTGTGTGTGTTATTTTCATTAACCCAATTGAATTATTTAATTAAATATAAACACTGAACTGTTTTAATTAGGTCGATGAAATTTTCCTTTAGTTATATTTAAAAAATTAAAAATTGTCTCTAAGGAATTAAATTCTTATAATTAGATTTTCAAATAAAATTTTAATGATTTATTTTTGTTGCTTGCAGGGCTGTTACGGATCCCAGAGATGGTAGGAGGGTAGCGTTGAAGAAATTACCAAATGTCTTTCAAAGTCTGGTCAGCAGTAAAAGGGTTTTTAGAGAGTTAAAGATGCTCTGCTTCTTCAAACACGAAAATGTAAGAAAAATTCACATTTATATTCATGTTAAAAAAAGGGGAGGGGGGCGAATACTACGAATTAGATAAAATATTATACCAAAAAAAAAATATTCTCATTTCCATGAGGAGGGTCATTAAAATTATTACATTCTCTTTAAATATATATTTTTTTTAATTTGATAAAAGTTTTTAGAATTATTTTTATGCTCTATTTTTTTTTTTTAAATGAGAAAATATTTTTCTCAACTAGGATTTTTTTTTTTGAAATTTAACTGAATTAATTTATCTTTTGCTTGCAGGTCCTTTCTGCACTGGATATATTGCAGCCGCCACATCTGGACTTCTTCCAGGAAATGTATCCTTTTTATTTATCACATTTGTGTATTTGGGACATACGTAAAACAGACATGTCCAAAAAACAGGTTTGATATTAGAAAATCATTCAAAATATATAGAAAATTTTATTTTAAGATAAAATATGCTGATTAGGAATTTAAATTTCAATAAAAAGGAATTTAATTTAAAATTAATTATCAACTAAAAAGTCAAATTTCTGTTTGTTTGGATATATAACTGATTAGAAAATTTAACTGTCACGAAAAGCCTTTAAAGAAACCTCAAGTATTAGCTATAGAAGCCCTAATGAACCTTGATTAGAATTTCCACGTTTCTGAACTGTGTGTATATATCGATTTCCGTAATTTTCAGAAAATTGAAGGCCATAATGAAATAGATTAACTATTACCGATAGAAATTACCGACGTAGATTTCTGTATTATCGACAGTAAAATTTTGTCCATCTTCTTTCTTGAAAACTGTAAATATTATTTTTAAAATTGTTTTGATAGTGTTATTTAAAATCAAAGCTATAAGTGCCACAACCATTATTTGTAGACTATTAAATTTTTAATTAGATTTTTGTTTGGATTGGAAAAATACGGATTTGAATTTCGCCCAAAGGAAACTTGTGTCAGCACTTTAGAATTTTATGAATGGCAATTGGATTTAATTTTATCTTCAGGCAATTAGCGTTTCGTGTAACGATAAAGCGTATACTACACTTTTAGATTCTAAATTTTTAGCAGATACTTTACTCACGTAAACCTTCTTAACTATCGTCTTTCTCTCTCTCTCTCTCTCCCTATTTTTCTGTCTTCTTTTCTTTTTCTTCTTTCCTTTTATTCACCCACACTCATCTACTTTGCAAGCTTAGAGTTTAGATCCAAACTTCATCTCTCTGAGTTGCTTTTCTCTTTTTCTCTTGTCCACCGGCAAGATCACTTTTCAGAGTTTGCTGTACTAGAAGTTTCTCGTGGAAAACTCCCCTTTCTCTCTCTCTCTCTCTCTCTCTCTCTCTCTCTCTCTCTCTCTCTCTCTCTCTCTCTCTTAGCTGTGCATATTTTTCCTCGAGAAATATCCTCGTTTTCACTTAAAATTAGCTGAAAAGACGCTTTTTGAATAAATGCACTTAAAAAGCATCGCTGCTGCATTAAATTACTAACGAGAAAACTTCCAAAATATCGGTATTTTTGTTTTTAGTTAAAAATGAATTATTTTATTATTTGAAAAAGAAAATTAGTGATTTTTTTTAAAACATAAAAATTAATATTTTTTTTTTTTAAATTTTCTGATTTTTTTGTGAAATTTTCGTAAACAAAAAAAATATAAAAAAAAGAACTTAAATTAAAATTATTTTAAATTACCCGCCATATCAGTGTCTACTTTATCGACTGAACATAGATTGAAAACTTAAACCGTAATAAGAAATATATTGGAAAAATAAATTTTTTGTATAAATTAGTTTTTTTTTTTTGACATTGTGAACAAAAAAAAAAAAGAAAACTATAAATATAGTAATGTTTTTTAATAAAAATTCTTTACATTCCACTTTTGGGAATATTAGCATTAAAATTAATCTTGCGTCCTTTGTTGAGAAACGGTAAAAGCCTGTGGGGCAAACCTCAGTCAAATATATGCTATACAATATGTTTTTGGATGAAGAAATTCTAAACTATATACACGTAATTACACATCGTTGGTAATTTATATTTTCCTATATAGCACAATCGCTATATATAATACAATGTAGAATTTGATATTTTAACTTTTGCTTTGTTAATTTAACATTTTATTGAACTTTTTTAAAAAAAAAAATTTCTAATTTTTTTTCTAATTAGATTTTTCTATTATATAATTTTGAAATTTGACTTTTTGAAATGAAAGAAAATTTTCTGAATGTAATATACACAAAGTGTAGGTCATGCTATTGATTCTTTTTCGACTACCGGTATCGTGAGAAACAAAGGCACGAGATTTATTAGGTTAGATGCTATACACGTGTTTGAGAGATCTCTCCCTCGAACAGAGTCTTTGTAACTGGCTTAAATCCATTTAGGGTAACTTGACCCCTAAAGTATTGGTACTTCCAACAGTCACATAAAAAAAACAGAAGAAAAGAACACAGCTAATGATTTAAAATTATCACTGCATAGACGGAAAAAAATTTATTACTCAATCGGTTACTTGACTATTATCAAATAAATATTTAAATAATTCTTAATAGAACCAAATAATTCACTGAAAAAAAAATCTGGTTAGGCTATATTTAACATTACTTTCTAGTTATGTTAACCAGAATTCTAGTTGAATTAACTAGAATTCTCGTTAAAATAACCAGAATTCTGGTTAACCTAACCAGAATCAAAATGTTAAATATACCCTAACCAGAATTCTGGTTATTCTAACTAGAATTCTGGTTATTCTAACTAGAATTTTTTTTTCAGTGTTTAATTAAATAAACTGTACACGGAAAAAAAGTATCATTGATTCAAGAAAATCACGAAAATATATTTTGTGCGGTTTTTTTTTTTTGAGTTTCCAATCTCAGTTCAGTCGGTATTGTAGATACTGATATGGCGGGAAATTTAAATTTAAAAGGAAAATTTTCTTTCTGTAATTTTTTTATATTTATATTGAATTCAATTTTTAATTGTTTCCGATATTAAATTAATAAAACAATAATGTCTTTATTGTATATATATATATATATATATATATATATATATATATATATATGATTGATGGAAAATTTGTACAAAGATCAAGGGGAATAGATGAATGGAATGAGTATATTTATACGGAAGCATGTAGAATATATATATATATATATTTTTTTTTCTTTCTCGTTCCCTTTATGTACTCTCTGGTACAAGCAGATAGCGTTTTGACGGTGTGCTAATGACATTTCATCGACGTATCAATAGCCATGTCAAGCGCATTAATAATTTGTGGTTATACGTAACAAGGATATTCGTGACCAAGAACAGAGCACTAGGATTTGTTCTATATATACATATAGTGTCTGAATCGTCGTTAATTGGAGAGTACACAATATAGTAACATGATTGATCAAATAGTCTAGCTCTATATATATATAGAATATAGCCAAATTAATTGGTAAAATTATATCTACCTTCCATCACAATTCCATTTTAGTTTCAGGTATATCTCATTTCCATTATCGTGTGTATATATATATCGTCAAATTTCTGGTTAATTATTTTAGGGTATTAAACGGAGAAAAATGGAAAAACGAATAAAGTAACTTTTACTACTTACATTAAAAGTAAAACCTCCACTGTCCGCAGTTTCCCCAGGTGAATCGATTCTACGGAAACTACTCCACGGAAATTCCACACGGAATTCCGCAAAAATTTCCGCAAAATTTTTGAAAGAAGTTCTTTTGTAATTTTGCGAATGTTTTATAAGAATTACACACATAATAATCTCTATACAGAATTGCACAAAATTTTTGTTAGAATTTTACAACTGTACACTGAAAAAAATTTAATCGAAATCCTCAACTACCTTTAGTTAACTGACTTAAAAGTAGTAAAAGTAACTACTTTTTTGGTTATTTTAACTATGTGCGTGTACTTTCTAAATTTGAATCAGTGAATTTCACTGCTAACCAGTTATATGTATACCAAACCAGTGAAATTTCACTGATTCAAATTTAGAGAGTAGTCAATTTAACTATTTTTTATGGAGTTAAGAATTAGTAGTTAATTGTACTTAACAAAAGTAGTTAAATCAACTTCAAAAATTAGAACAATTACAAAATCTCCTTGACCCAACTAAATTCTTAGTTCTTTTAACTACACTGAAAAAAAAATTTATTTGATTCAAATACCGGTGTATTTGGTTATTATCAAATAAATATTTATTTGAATCAAATATTTCTTATTTGAATCAAATAAATGGTATTTGCTTCAAATACTGAAATATTTGATACGTAGTTAATACAACTTTTAAAATTGAGTTGAGGACCTATTGTACTATACAGGGTAGTTAAAAAGTAGTCAAATCTACTACTTATTTTTTTGAGTGCAGGGTATAGTTAAAAAAGTAGTCAAATCTACTAGTTTTTTTATTGAGTGTATTTTTTACTGATTTTTTTTTGTAATTTTAAAATAACTGCTGGTGGATACACTGAAAAAAATTAGTCGAGAAATTCAACTACCGTTAGTTAGTTGACTGAAAAATAGTAAAAGTAACTAATTTTTTGGTTACTTTTAACCAAAAATTTGGTTAAAAATGCGAGTAGTCAATTTAACTATTTTTTATGGAGTTAATAATTACCTAGTATTGATCTGACTTAAAAATGTAATTGAGTCAACTACAAAATCTCATCGGACCAACTATATTCTTAGTTCTTTTATCTACTTTTTGGTAGTCAATACAACTTTTTAAATTTCGTTGACGACGTATTGAATAATGCAAGGTTGTTAATAAGTAGTAAAATCTACTAGTCTTTTTACAGTGTATAAAATAAAATTTACATTATGATCTGATGTATAGGAATCAAGGTGTCAACCGAACACTTTTAACGAGAAAAATGACCTCTAAATGCATGCCTAAAGGTATAGAATCAAACTTCCATATAATTATATCAAATAAAATAACAATTTTTTAAATTAGTTTTTGCTGTTACTATAACGAGTGATTTAGTTTTAAAAGAAAGTTCAATTTCTCAGCAATTTTTTGTAAATAATAAGAATCAGCTTTTTTATGGTGAAAAGAAGTAATATATTAAAATTAAAATTGCAAACACATTAAATAAATCAGAAATCTAATTGAATAAATAAAAAAAAAATAAAAAAAATTTGGAAAACGTTTTATTGACCTCTCTCAAATAAGTTCGACTAGATATTAATTAATCTATCATAAATTCTATATATTATATCCACCAGGAACATAATCGTCGACTAGTTTTCGTTATAGTAGCAGCAGTTATTTTAAAATCACAAAAAAATCAGCAAAAAATAAAGTTGTGGAATTTTATTGAAAATTTTC